GGGGCTCTTTTTGGCATTTCGGGGGCGAAATCGCCCGCCGCCCCCGTGTATTTTTTCCCCTGTACCTCGGGTACATATATCATATATGTACTATGTAGTACCTGATACGACAACGACCCCATCAGCCTAATTAGGGTCGGGCTAAAAACGTCCGTGTGAACGCACCTAATGTAATAGAAACTTGCTTTCTGTAAGCACGGGTCCACCGCAGAGATTTGCATTCGATGTAACAAAGGAAAAGTGAATATAAATTGGAATTTATCTACATTGCTTTTTCTGAACCTTTCATTTCACAGACGCCGAGACGGTACTCGTCGGTTAGCTCTAGTAACTATAGCCCGCGTAAAGTTGCTGCTGGGCTATAGAACAATCCATTAGGGATGCGCGGGACCAACTTAGTCGCGCCAATTCGCGACTTTAAACGTCTGTGGTAGGCAATTAATGCCTCTTATCCGAAGTGAATATGCCAAGTTATATCAGCTACTAAAATTTAACCTCTAATTATCGTTGAAATGGTCTACTTGCGGTATTTCTGGTGAACGAACATTAGATTTGCGAACTTCAAATGGCCATTTTTGGCGGCGCTGCTGGCCTGTGAGCACAACCAACACAACCCGCCCACCCCTCCACGTGCGGAAATACATAGTTCCCGCTGACTGGCTGGACTATTAAAGTTGGTTCCGCGCATCCCTAATGGCTGGTTCTATAGCCCAGCGGCAACTGTAAGCGGGCAATGCCAATAGTATAGTTACTAGAGCTACTCGTCGGTAGTCCCTAGTCTGGCTGATACTGATAGTGATAGGGTCTACATCCCCCAGGGTACTGCCGGAACGTACCCTGGGTACGGTCCGGTATACCGGAACGTACCCTGGGTACGGTCCGGTATACCGGAACGTACCCTGGTACTAAATACTACTACTACTGGTACTAGTAGTAGTACTACTAGTACCATCTAATATGCCAGACCGTACCTCGCCTACTCCACTAACGAGTCTAGGGAGTCGCCTACGCCTACTCCCTAACCCTAACCATATCAGCTATAGTTACCAGGGTACGTTCCGGCAGTACCATAGCCCATGGGGGACATAGACCCTATGAGTATGACTCACTATGAGCCCTAGTCTGAGTCTCGTGTGTCACTGTGTGTCACTGTGTCAGTGTGTGGCAAACAATCACAAAAATGTGAATCATAAACGCATGTTGTTCAAAGCAAACAACAAATATAACACAGATGTTTCCTTGTCCATGTTTATTGTATTCCTAATACCTTTCATCTTCGTCTGTTTTGTCATCTGGATCAGCGGACTTTTCTTTGTTCTCAGCTTTCTCGTGGCCGCCATCTTCCTGTTTCTCGGTGTCAACTAAGGCAACTTGTTCCTCGGGCTCTTTTTTGCTTTCGTCGGCAACCTCGGTCGCTGGAACTTCGAATGCACCCGCGTTCTCGTCATCTGCGTGAAACACTTCATTACCAGGACCAGACTCTTGTACTTCGGAATCGGACATACTGGCGTATTTTAATACAATATCGCGAGTACAAAGGAAATACAAATACGAACTTCTCTACTCCACAAGAAGAAAGAGTAATTAGCGCCCTCTATACGCACATAGAGTGATCTCAATGGATTTCTAGACGGCTTACTATCGCATAGTTTAAGACATTACGATACTACTCAACTGTTTTCAAACCAAGAATAATATTATATTGTGAAATTCAACATTTTTTTAAAAACTGGTTTGAAATCCTGTTTCTTTGTTCATATAAAGTGCTATTGTCAACGTTCTAAAATAAGAGAGGGTCTATGTCCCCCAGGGCTCAGCCACGGGGTACTGCCCAAAGATCCGGAGGCCTCCGGCACTATACGATCTTTGGTACTGCCGGAACGTACCCTGAGTACGGTCCGGTATACCGGAACGTACTCTGGTACTATCTAATGCTGAAGGGGTCGTTGTCGTATCAGGTACTACAGACATGTACCCGATGTACGTATATGTATGTATACACAAGTGTACCAGACCTGTATCTTCTCAGCATATATGTACCCTATGTTTACATAAACGTACCTGCCCCTAAGATGGAGATCGAATGAAGACGGTCATGGAGGAAGAGTAGGGGGCAGGAGGAGGAGGAAAGGAGGAGGAGGAGGAGTAAGGGTCAGGAGGAGGAGGAGGAGGAGAGAAGGTGATGGAGTAGAGAAAGTAGGAGGAGGAGGAGGAGGAGAGAAGGTGATGGAGTGGAGAAAGGAGGAGGAGGAGGAGGAGGAGGAGGAGGGGAGAAGGTGATGGAGGAGGGAGGAGGAGGAGTAGGTATCAACCTTCTTCACCTCTTCTCATATGCTACACTGCTTCCCATCACCTCCTCGCCTCCTCCTCTCTCCTCGCTCCTCCTGCCTACCTCCTCCTCCTCCTCCTCGCCTCGCTCCTCCTCCTCCTCCTCCTCTCCTCCTTCCTTCTCCTCCTCCTCCTCCCTCCATCTCCTGCCCCCTACTCCTGGCCCCCTACTCCTCTGCCATCATCCTTTCGTCCCCCTCCTCCTCCTCACTCCTCCTCCTCCTCTTCATCCTCCTCCACCCATACTCCACACACCTTCTCGCCTCCTCCTCTCCGCTCCTCTGTTCTCCTCGACGTCCATTCCGCCTTCTAACTCCTACTCCTCCCATCTTCTCCTCCCCTACTCCAACACTCGTCTCACCACCCTGCCTTCGCCTCCTCCCTCCCTCCACCTACCCAACACCAAACAGGTCTCCCCTCCTCCTCCTCCTCCCTGCCTCTTACTCCTCTGTCCTCCTCCTTCTCTCCCCCTACTCCCAACACCGTCTCCCCTCCTCCCTCTCCTCCTCCTCCCCTCACTCCTCCTCCTCCACCCCTCCTCCTCCTCCCTCCTCGCTCCTCCTCTCCTCCCTCACTCCTCCTCCTCGCACCTACTCCACAACCTTTCCCTTCCTCATCCTCTCCTCCCTGCCTCCTCCTCCTCCTACACATCATCTTACTGCCTTCCTCCTCCTCTCCACCTACTCCAACACGCTTCTTCCCCTCCTCCTCTCCTCCTCCTCCTCCTCCTCCTCCTCCTCCTCCTCCTCCTCATCCGCCTCCTACTCCTACTCCTCCCCATCCTCCCTGCAGCCCCTACCCCACAGAACCGTGCTCCACCCCCCCTCCCCCCCCTCTCTCGCTCCTCCTGCCTCCACCTACTCCAGACAGCAACGCCTCTCCCCTCCTCCCTCTCCTCCTGGCCTCCTGACTACCTCTTTCCTCCTCCTTCTTCTCTCCCCCTCTCAAACACCGTCTCCCCTCCTCCTCCTCGTCCCTCCTCCTCCATCCTCGCTCCTCGCCCTCCTCCTCGCCCTACTACATCACCCCTTCTCTCCTCCCCCCACCTAACTCCTCAACCTTCTCTCCTCCTCCTGCCTCTTTCCTGCACCCTCACTATCCTCCTCCATGAGCCTTACTTCATGGTCGATTTTCATCACCTTCTCCGCTCCTCCTCCTCCTCCTGCCTCCCGCCTACTCCCATGCACGGTCTCTCGCGTCCTCTTACCCCTCCTTCCTGCCGCCTACTCCTCCTCACATTGACCAGTCTCATTTGATCTCCATCACCTCTCCCGCTCCTCCTCCCCTTCTTCCTCCTTCTCCTCTCCTGCCTCTCCTACTCAGTCACTCTCTCTCGTCCTCACCTCTACTCATCACCCTTCTCTCCTCTGCCTCCTCTGCAGCCCTCGGCTTCACTCCTTCCAAGTGTGAGACACACTCTCATTCGATTTCAACACCCTCCCGCCCTCCTCCTCCTCCTCCTCCTCCTCCTCCTCCCCCTACATCCATCACCCTTTCTCCCCCTCCTCTTCCCCTCCTCCATGCCCCCCTACTCCTCCTCCATGACCGTCTCATTCGATTCTCCATCACCTCTCTCCGCTCCTCCTCCTCCTCCTCCTCCTCCCTCCTCCTCTGTGCCCTAACCTCCTCCTGACCGTCTTCATTCGATTCCCATCTACCTTCCTCTCCCTCCTCCGTCCCTCCTCATCCTCCCCCTCCTCACCTCCTCCCCTCCTCCATCACCTTCTCGCCCTCCTCCTCCTCTTCCTCCTGCCCCCTACTCCTCCTCCATGACCGTCTTCATTCGATCTCCATCTCAGGGGCAGGTACGTTTATGTAAACACAGGGTACATATATGCTGAGAAGATACAGGTCTGGTACACTTGTGTATACATATACGTACCTCGGGTACATATCTGTAGTACCTGATACGACAACGACCCCTTCAGCCTATCTAATATGCCGGACCGTACCTCGCCTACTCCACTAACGAGTCTAGGGAGTCGCCTACGCCTATACTCCCTAACTCTAACCATATCAAATAGTAACCAGGGTACGTTCAGGTATACGGGCCTTAGTTACAGTAATACGCTTCTGATAGTAATTAGTATAAAGCCATATACCAGATTTACTCACCACAGTTTTGCCAGGACCATTAGCTCATGGGAACAAAAACGGCTCTGATCTATTTCTAACACGCATACACACGCACGCACGCACGCACGCACGCACGCACGCACGCACGCACGCACAGAGAGAGAGAGAGAGACGCGCGCAAGCATGCACGCACACACGCCACGCACATTGTGATTGTACCCATGCAAACATAGAAATATATAGAGACACGACTATATATATAGTAGTCTATATATATATATATCTTATATAGTCTAGTCTATCTAGATATTATTTCTATGCATGCAAATGTAACTTTCAGGATTCTTGAGGCACGCAAACTTCACCAGCAACTTCCATGTAACAGCACAGGGGAAAAACCTATAAACTACACAAAATGTGTAGGTGGTAACATGTTAGAATCGGGAATATAGATCAATTATGCAACCGAGCAGCCCTTTGTAAAATATATTACAATCGCAATTCATTACCGCCAGAACTGTCTTTTTTGGAGGGGGGTGTAATGGGGCCGGAAAGATACGTAAATGTAGGATGGGAAATGTAAATACTACCATGTATACATGGTTAATGGACAGGCAACTGCCCAGAACACAAACTAAGTATGGCTTGCCTCTTCCCTCAAACCTAAGGAAAAATGAGCTAGCTACACCCTGATTACTGCACTTATATATAGAACTAGCGGGATACCCGGCGTTGCCCGGGGAAATCAGTGGCGTTACTCAGCTGGTGACCGCTTGGTTGAAAGGAAAATACCAAAAAATTCTAATTATCTATCTATCCCTGCATCCATCCATCCCATTCCATGCCATGCCATCCCATCGCACCGCATCCCATCCCATATCCCATCCCATCCCATCTCATCACAGGCAGTGCCATGCCATGCCATCCCATCCCATGCCATCCCATCGCACCGCATCCCATCCCATATCCCATCCCATCCCATCTCATCGCTTCCCATGCCATCACATGCCATGCCATGCCATCGCACCCCATCCCATCTCATCGCACCGCATCCCATCAGGAGTCTATCAATATTGATAGACTCCTGATCCCATCCCATGCCATCCCATGCCATCCCATCCTAAACAGTAAACAAGTGCCGCAGAGCGACAGCGCTCATCTAACGTCTACTGCGGTGACTCTGTGGTGGAGTGGTGGGATTCTAGTAAACCCTGTTAGTCCCAAATGTGTTCACATACACGCCGAAACAGTGGAATGCACAGGGATGGTATCAGGAACCTTCTCTAAAAAATGCTAGGTCACCGCTGA